CCCAATGGCCTAGCTAGAATCCTCCCGGGTCTGTTTCTGATGTCATGAAAGGACCTGATGCTGGCCACTGCCTAGGGCAGGGGTCCTCAAACTTTTTAAATAGGGGGCCAGTTCACTGTCCCTCAGACCGTTGGAGGGCCGGACTATAGTTTAAAAAAAACTATGAACAAATTCCTATGCACACTGCACATATCTTATTTTGAAGTAAAAAAACAAAACGGGAACAAATACAATATTTGTATTTGCATGTGGCCCGCGGGCCGTAGTTTGAGGACCCCTGGCCTAGGGTGTGGCTCTGGACGTTTGAAGTGATAGTGCTGTCTACTCCTGACAGGGTTAACCCATAGGCCAGGTCTCATCTCCCCGGGGGCAGTCTGCTCATAGAAATGGTCAGCTACAGCTGCTGGACTCCAGTGGGCAGGCCAGAGGGGCTGAGACCCTTACAGATGATCCGTGCTCTGAGGCCTCCACCAGGACTGACTACCTGGTAGACTGTTTAGTGAGGAGAAGAGTGGGCTGGGCTAGAGGGCTCATCCCACCCTCTTTTCTAATTTGAGTAGTGAGTGGTCCAGCCCAACTGGGCTCTACTGAGCCATGCTGCCAGTGGAGTTCGGTTCCACTCTCTTCCTCAACTCAATCCCTTCCCTGAGGGGCTCAGACCATCCCATGGTACTGGTCTGACCTGACCACTACTCCTTCCCCTTACAGACCCCTCCCTTGACGTGTACAACGAGGTGGTGGTGCCTGCCACTTACAGCAGCTTCCTGTACTGTGGTCCCATCAGCAACAAAGCTGGACCCCCACCCCCTCGCAGGGGCCGGGATGGTAAGCGGGGAGCCAAGGGCTTGGAGGAGGAGAAACCAGGATGGGAGGCAGGGAGAAGAGGGCTGGGATGGGAAAGTGGGGTCATGCCCAGGACTGCGCTGGATGCAGGGGGTAAGAGAGGAACTATGCCTGGTGGCAGCATTGGCTTTGAAGTCAGACGGTCAGTGTCAAATCTCAGCTCTGCTACTTCCTACCCATGAGATGGGCCAGCTACGCAAACTCTGAGCCTCAGTTTCCCCATCTATAAACTAGGAGCGAATATAATACCCATCTCATAGGGTTGTTGTGAAGATTACGTGAGATCGTACATGGCCAGAAGGCTTGGCATAGAATAAAGGTCTAGTGAAGGAATTCTGACAGTGGAGACAGGGGTCTTCTGCCTGCTGACCATCAGCTTTCCCCTTAGCTCCTTCCCGACTGTGGTGCGTGCTGGGAGCGGCTCTGGAAATGTTTGTGTCAGAAAGCAGCCCTGAACCCCTCAGCCTCATCCAGCCCCAGGATGTTGTATGTTTGGGTGTGAGCCCTCCACCTACTGACTCAGGTGACCTTGACAGGTAACAGCCTGCCATACTCACTGAGTTCCCCTGTTCCCTTCCTGATCCCAAGCCTGAAGCCACCTCCTTGGACCCCATTCTCTTCCCTGACCTCACCTTCTTTCCAGGTTCCCCTTTTCCTTTGAGCTCATCCTCACCGGGGGGAGGATCCAGCATTTTGGCACCGATGGAGCTGACAGTCTGGAGGCCTGGGTCAGCGCCATGGGCAAGGTGAGACAGCGGAGACCCCTCCCTGACAGCTCATGGTTTTCCTGGCTGCACTTGCCCCCATCCTATCCTCTCTGTTCCTGTAGCCACTCCTACCTCTTCCTTTAACAGTGAAGGTGACTGAGCATGTATTCTGTGCCAGGGCCTGGGGTACGCACTGCCCACTCAATATCTCATTTAATTTTCACAACAACCCTCAGAGGTAAGGATTATTAATATTTCACACATAAAGAAACTGAGTCTCAGAGGTTATAAAGTCACGTGGTCAAGGTCACAGAACTAGAAGGCAGCAGAGCATCAGGCCTCTGTCCCCAAAGCTCATGGCCCAAACCTCCCTGTGCTGGGTCTCTTCCCACAGAGAAGCTGCCCTTGCCTCCCACTTCTTCCTCCCACCCTCCAGGTCCTGAGGCCGCCTTCACCTGGCCTAGCTTCTCCATTGCCAGGCAAACCCATCTCTCTCCATCCTGCACCCTCCCCCTGGAATTAAAAGTTCAGATTCCGGAGTCACATCCTGGGAACTGAGTCCTCTGCCTCTCAGCCCTGTGAGCTTTTCCATAAGGGTAGAGTGGGTACAAAAGGCCCACCCTGTAAGGCTAAGAATGAGAGACACGTGAGGCTCATTCTCTGTGTCGTGTTACCATTTCACCGTCTGTGGGTGCTGAAATAGTAATGGTGATATGAAGACAGTCATTCACTTCCTTACGCAGTTTTTCCCTCAGCCCTGTTCCACCCTCAGTTTAGCATCAATTCAGAAAGTCCTGTGCCCTATCATTTCACCGTCTGTGGGTGCTGAAATAGTAATGGTGATAATGAAGACAGTCATTCCCTTCCTTACGCAGCTTTTCCCTCAGCCCTGTTCCACCCTCAGTTTAGCACCAATTCAGAAAGTCCTGTGCCCTATCGTTCCTCAATCCCTTGCTGCCTTCCTCTGCCATACTCTTCTTTTTTTAAAAAAAAATTTTTTTTATTGATTTTAGAGAGGAAGAGAGGGATAGATTTTTATTGATTTTAGAGAGGAAGAGAGAGGGATAGAGTGATTGAAACATCAATGATGAGAGAGAATCAAAAATCGACTGCTTCCTGTCAAGCCTGCAACCCGGGCATACGCTCTGATCAGGAATTGAACCGTGACCTCCTGGTTCATAGGTTGACACTCAACCACCGAGCCATGCAGGCCAGGCTGCCATACTCTTCTAATCTGCTGCCCTGTGGGTGGCCAGTGACTTCCCATTGTCAAGGTCCAAGAGCTTCCTCCTGGCCAACCCAGGTCATATCTGCAGCATCTGACACTTCTCTGACCCCATTCTCTTGTTCCCCTGTAACTCCTCACACCAAGAAATTGTTCTCTGTGTCCTTTAAGGGTGCTGTCATGGCCCTACCAGCTGAGTCCAACTCTTCTCTTACTCCTGTGGGTGGCCAGTGACTTCCCATTGTCAAGGTCCAAGAGCTTCCTCCTGGCCAACCCAGGTCATATCTGCAGCATCTGACACTTCTCTGACCCCATTCTCTTGTTCCCCTGTAACTCCTCACACCAAGAAATTGTTCTCTGTGTCCTTTAAGGGTGCTGTCATGGCCCTACCAGCTGAGTCCAACTCTCCTCTTATTATCATGTACACTTTCCACAAATCTAGCCCACCCTTTAGGCAGTGGTACTGCCCAACGTGTGGGCTGCAGATTGTCACTGCACTGGCCTGTGGACTCTTTGTTATGGCCTGTGACAGTACAAGTACAGAACTTGAGAGTTAGCTTTCATAACCATTTGACAGAGTGACTTTATGTGTGGAATTTCATTATAAAATTGGCGGCTTATATGTTGTATGTACTTCTTTTTTCATTTAATTTTTCTAGTAATCATTTTTATTGTTTTTTATTAAAGTATTTGTTAGTGACAGTTTGGAAATATTTTTTTGGTAAATTTTCTCTATTGTTGAGAGTATTACAGATGTCCCCCATTACTCTCCTCCACCGGGCTCCGCCCCACCCCAGGCCTTCACACTCTATTGTCTGTGTTCATGGGTTATGCATATATGGGAAATTAAAATAAAAGAAAAAACTTCCTGTTCCTTCATCACGGGTAGTTTGAAAAGCACTACTTCCAGGTCCACCTCAAATAGTTCTTTGTCCACGAAGCCTCTCCCGGCCCCTTTGTGTGATGGGACCTCCCAAGGCATCAAGACTCTTTCCTTACAGCGTTTCGGCTCCCCATTCTTTCGCACCCCTACATCCCAAGTAAGGGCATAAGGCTGTCACACAGGGGTCTTCTCTGTGTTGGTTGGAGCAAATTAAATTGAACTGAATTTCTTTCCTGTCTTTCTCCATCCATCTCTGTCTTCTCCTTGGGCCTTTCCTTCACTCCCTCCCCATCCCTTTTCATTACCCTCTTTCTTTTGCTTTCTCTTCACGTCCTTCTCTGTCTTTCCCTGGCCCTCTCACTCTCTCTCCCCCACCTCTTGTCTCTTCCCCCATCTTCCTCTCTCCCCATGTCCTCCTCCTGCTTCACAGTGGTTCTCCCCGCTGAGCTGTCACCAGCTGTTGGGCCCTGGGCTGGTGCGGCTGGGCCGCCTGTGGCTGCGGTCCCCCTCCTACACAGCCCTGGCTCCTGGCCTCTGGCTGTCAGGGTTTGGACTTCTTCGTGGTGACCACCTCTTCCTGTGTCCAGCACCGGGCCCTGGCCCTGCAGTCCCTGAGGACATGGTGCATCTTCGGCGGCTACAGGAGATCAGTGAGCAGGGCTGGGGACAGGGATGAAGGGTGGCCATGGAGGGGGGAAGGAGTGGACCTTCCCTGTGGGAAATAGCAGAACACAATGGGTTCAGACACAAGCTCTGGAGTCAAACTGCCCAGATTTAGACCCCTCACACTCTATCAATTCCTAGCTGTGTAATCTTGGACAAGTTACTTAACCTCTCTATGCCTTAGTTTCCTGATCTTTGCAACAGGCACAATAACAAGGTTGTAGTGAGTTTCAAATAAGGCGACACATGTAAAACACTTATCACAGAGCCTGGGAGGAGGCATCTCACAAGTGTTCAGTAAATGGTATATGTTATAAATGTTATTGTTATTATCATTATTTGGAGTCACTTGCTGGTTGGGGACTGGGAGAGGGGACTGGGTGCTCTCACTTTCTCCTGAAAGAGGAAGTGTCAGATAATGTTTTAGGGCTTTGGAGATAAGAGAACTGAGTTCAAGCTTAGCTTTGCCATTTTATAGCAAGTAATCAGAGGCAGTTACTTAACCTCTCTGAGCTTTATGTGTCACCCGTAAAGTGGGGATAATAATGTGTAACTCATAGGATTTAATGCAACATCGTTTATAAGGCTCCTAGCCTGCACCTCCGTGCCTTAAATGTTTCATAAATATTAAGTCATGATGATGATGATGATGATGATGATGATGATCTCCATGATTCTCCTCCCAGGTGTAGTCTCGGCAGCTGACACCCCAGACAAGAAGGAGCATTTGGTCCTGGTGGAGACAGGAAGGTAAGTGTTGCCCCTACCCTTTGTAGAGTTCAGCCCACACCCTTGGACCACCGCCCACTTCCTGAAAGTCCCTTCCCTAGTTCAGAGGCCCTGTCTGGGTTGGGGGTTGCTGCCCCTTCTGGTGACTCTAGGAAATCTGGTCCTTGTGATTCTGGGCCTCAGCGGATCCTCTGGAGATGGCTCTGACCCAGGCCCCTTGGGTCTCAGGACCCTGTATCTGCAGGGAGAGGGCCGGCTGGACTTCTCAGCATGGAATGTGGCCATTGGGGGAGCAGCCGGTGGGGGCGGCACAGGGCTGCAGGAGCAGCAGATGAGCCGAGGTGACATCCCCATCATCGTGGATGCCTGCATCAGTTTTGTCACCCAGCATGGTGAGTGGGTACTGGTCAATACTGAGCCAGTGGGAGATGGGGAACAAGGACACAGCCACGGGGTAGTGATCTGCCTACAAGCTTGGCCTCCAGAGCCTCCAGCCTGACAGCCTCTGCTCAGTGACCCCCTGGAAAGCTGCTAGCCTTTCTGAGCCTCTGTTCTCCATCTGCAAAATGGGGTTACTAACCGTCCTTATTTTCCAGAATTGTTGTGACAGTAAGATAACACCTATAAAGCATTTAGTGCAGGACCTAGCAGGTAGTAAGTGTTCCATGGTAACTGTCTGTGGGGCGTGGACATGGAGAGAGAGTGGCACTGAAATGTGACTAGAGATGTAGAACCGTGGAGAACAAAGAGGGGGCAGCTACGGGGCCAGAGCCAAGCTGTTCAGCCAAATCCTTGAAGGTCTGAACACAATTATTCTGTGTGGGAGGTTTTCCAGGCATAAAAGTTCAGCTATGCAAGTGGTTCCCAGAATTCTTTGTGAGCTTTTGGCCTCTGCTTTATTCTCCAGCCCAAGTAAGGACCCAGTAGAATCTATCTTCCGGGTGAATCCCCATTAGAAGAATGAACTCTTGAGAAGGAAAATCCGCAGATAACTAAGAAGGGCAGTAAAGGGGGGGAAAGCACATCCATAAACCTACAAATAGTTGTGCTTACAACCAGGACAGTGACTAGTCAGCGGCTAATGACATTCTCTATGCGTTGGCAGTAGCCCCATGCAGTGACTTCCCCCACTCACAGACCCCTGTCCTCTTCTCAGCCTCCCTTATGTTCAAAGGAGGAATTAAGTCAGAGGCCCATGAAAAAGCCTGGGGAAAGAGAGTGGGTGTCCATGCCCCCTCCTCCACAGTGCCTGCACCGCCATTCTTCATTCAACAGATATTTGTTGAGCTTCTCCCACATGCCATGGCAATGAACAGGGAAGGTCCTATGAAGCTCAGAGACTAGCAGGCGAGATGGGTAATGACTAAGAAAACAAATACAATCAGTTCTCATTATTCGAGGTAGTTATATTCTACAGAGTGACTGCTAACACTGAGTTAATGCACACTGAATCGTTGCCCCAGGGGAAAGACAGGGTTAGGTTCCTGAGAACTTCTGGTCACATTTCCATCGACCAGTCAACACATGACCTTATTTTATGTGTGTTCCTGTTTAAAGACACTTGATTTCATATGTTTTGTCGATTTGTTAACACTGAACTCATGGCCAACAAGCACTACACCCTCTTCCTGAAGGAAGTTTATCCAACACATGTATTTTCTCCAGAAGGCACATCATAGCCTTCTTGCACTTAGGGACACTAGACAGCACATTAGCGCTACAATTGGGGGCCATTTTAAACAGGATTACACACACACACACACACACACACACACACACAAGAATGCAAAAAACATGGCTCTACATATGCCATGAAAAGACACTTGTTTACTGTATGACACCTTAGCTGGGAATGTGTCCAACAGGCAGCTCAAATTTTTCTCTGCTCTGCGCATGTTCCCAAATGACTAAAGAAGTACCATCAGTATTGATTTGGGGGTTACAAATAACTTTTAGCAAGTAGATGAATTTGCAAATGCAGAATCTTCAAATGACTAAGGCCTGTAATGTGATTTTAGAGAGTGCTGTTTAAAAATAAAAGTGATGAGGAGCTAGAGAGATGGGGGCTGCTATGTGTGATGCATGGTTAGTTAAGGACTTTCAGAGATGAGGATTGAGCAGGGCCCTGGAAAGCAAGACCATGGAGGCAGATTTCTTCCTCTATGACCCCACCAATAGCCACAAGCCATGTAGGAGATCATGGATGGGATGCTGGGTGGGTGGTGGTGGGTCTTTGGGCAGTTGTGAGCAGAGATGCTGGCTGTTCTCAGGGCTCCGGCTGGAGGGCGTATACCGGAAAGGGGGTGCTCGGGCCCGCAGCCTGCGGCTCCTGGCTGACTTCAGGCGGGATGCCCGGTCAGTGAAACTCCGACCAGGGGAGCACTTTGTGGAGGATGTCACCGACACACTCAAACGCTTCTTTCGAGAGCTCGATGACCCCGTGACCTCTGCACGGTTGTTGCCTCGATGGAGGGAGGCTGCTGGTACTTTCGAGATCCCTAAGAATTCCTCACAGGCAACCAAGGGGCAACCAGGAAGTCCACCTACCCCACCAGAATCCCTGAGGCTCCCTTGTGGGATTGAGCAGCCCCCCGCCTAATCACTCCCCCCACTGGAGGATCACCCAGGGACTCAGCTCAGGGCAAGGTGGGAAGGGGGCAGAAACACACCAATCCTGGGTTTGTTTCTCTAAAAATCCCTTGACTCTCCCTTCCCTGATCCTCTCCAACCCTCCCCTATTCCATCCCAGAGCTGCCCCAGAAGAATCAGCGCCTGGAGAAGTACAAAGAAGTGATTGGCTGCCTTCCGAGGGTCAACCGCCGCACACTCGCCACCCTCATCGGGCATCTCTATCGGTCAGTATGGCAGACCCCCTACAACCCCCTCACTGACCCTTTGTCACTTCTGCCCAAGCCCCTCGTTTACATTCCTTCATCCATCCCACAAACAGTTGTTAAGCGAAGGTATTATAGCATAAAGTTTCAGTGTGAACTCTGGAATCAGACAGACCCAAGCCTCAGTTTCCTCACTTATAAAAGAAAGCTATGTAATAAATAGTATCCACCTCACTGGTGATTTGAGATTTAAGTAACATAATCCTTGTAAAATTCTTAACTACAGCACCTGGCATGTGTGTAGTAAGTATTTGGAAATAGTAAGCAGTTAACATTATTTGGATTTATTATTCTATGCCAAGCAAAGGAACATATGTAGGAGACAAAAAGAAGATGCAGATCTATCTTTGCCTGTCTACTGGGGTGACAGGTCTTTAAATGATTCTAGGGTGAACCCCAGCTATGCTGTACTAATTACATTATATCACAGGGACTGGCCAATTATGACCTGTGGGCCAAATCCAGTTCACTGCCTGTTTTGTAAACCAAGTTTGTAAAGTGTAAAGTCATGCCCATTCATTTATATATTTTCAATGGTTCCCTCCACACAACAACAGCAAAGTTGAGGCATTGTGACAGACTGTATGGCCTACAAGCCTGAAATATTTACTATCTGTTCCTTTACATAAAAAGTCTGCTGACCCCTACTATACTTAAAATCACCTATTCCTTGTCTGTCTCTCCCCTAGACTGGGAGCTCCTTGAGCCAGTATTATATCTTACTCTTGCATCCCAATGTTTAACCCAGGGCCTGCATACAGTAGGAACTCATTAAGTGTTTGCTGAATGAATAGATGTGTTGATAAACGGGTAAGCACAAACTGCATTCCTTGTGACCCTCACGCCCTCTGCAGGGTGCAGAAGTGTGCGGCTCTGAACCAGATGTGCACGCGGAACCTGGCCCTGCTCTTTGCACCCAGCGTGTTCCAGACGGATGGGCGTGGGGAACACGAGGTGCGGGTACTACAGGAACTCATCGACGGCTATGTCTCTGTCTTTGATGTAAGCTCCCTCAACCCCTGACCCACAGTCCCTCTTCCTGAACTCTGGATCCTCTCACCCCAACAAGCCCCCAGCCCTCTGAAGGCCCTCAGCATCAGAACCATCTCCCAGAGCCCTGGGCCCCTTTCACCCATAACTTTGCTCTAACATCCTTGCCCGATTGGTTCTTAGCTCTTACACAGGTTCTCTGGTCGTTCACATCTCTCCCTGCTCCCCTCCTTTCCCAGTACATCCCCCACCCCCATCACACACACTCCCTCTGGCTCTTCCACAGATCGACTCTGACCAGGTAGCTCAGATTGACTTGGAGGTCAGTCTTATCACCACCTGGAAGGATGTGCAGGTAACTTGTCCTGGCCTTGGCTCCTGAGTGGGCCAGGAAGGGACATCAAGATAGGAAGCTGACCTTCTGCTTCTGGACACAGGGGCAACCCAAGGAGGGAGATGTTTTGGGGAGAGGGGTTGGTTTAAGATTTGCTTCATTTATTCCTCCGTGAGGAGTTGCCATTACAGTGGTTCTCAACCTTCTGGCCCTTTAAATACAGTTCCTCATGTTGTGACCCAACCATAAAGTTATTTTCATTGCTACTTCATAACTGTAATGTTGCTACTGTTATGAATCGTAATGTAAAGATCTGATATGCAGGATGGTCTTAGGCGACCCCTGTGAAAGGGTCGTTCGACCACCAAAGGGGTCGCGACCCACAGGTTGAGAACCGCTGCTCCATTACGAATAGTGGCAGAAGCCCTTCAGTTCCACGTGTAAGAGATCCAAGGAAGAATAGCTAAGTATTATTCTCACAGAGGTGAGAATAGTAATAACCCCTTCAGTTCCACGTGTAAGAGATCCAAGGAAGAATAAGTATTATTCTCACAGAGGTGAGAATAGTAATAATAAACACCATAGTAAATAGATGAGGACTTATTCTATTCCAGACACGTTAGCATCACACAACTCCATGAAGTAGGTAGTGCCATTTTTCAAATAAAGAAGATGTGGTCCTGCCACACCTCGCCTGAGCCATTTGGGGGTGAAGGTTGGGAAGAGACTTGGGGGGAGGGGAATGTTTATGAGATAACATGATCGCCTGAGCCATTTGGGGGTGAAGGTTGGGAAGAGACGTTGGGGAGGAGGGGGGGAATGTTTATGAGACAACATGGGGAGACCTCTGGCCTTCATTCTTTACATCCTTTGTGTCCTCCTGACTTCTTTTCCCCTCCCCTCAGCTATCCCAGGCTGGAGACCTCATCATGGAGGTTTACATAGAACAACAGCTCCCAGACAACTGTGTCACCCTTAAGGTCAGTCCTGAGGGAACAGGAGGGGAGATGACAGGATGATGTGGGAGACGGGCAATGGCCTGACCAGCAAGGGTCCTCTGCCTTTTCCCTGACCCCAGGTGTCCCCAACACTGACTGCTGAGGAGCTGACTAACCAGGTACTGGAGATGCGGGGGACAGCAGCTGGGACTGACTTGTGGGTGACATTTGAGATTCTCGAGCATGGGGAGCTGGGTGAGTAGGACCATGTGTGTGCATGGGGGTGGGGGGGTCAAACACCAACGACTTCTTTGTTCCAAATACAGTAGATACTTCCCATGTACATGAGGGGACAATCTGCACAGTTGGCCACTCCCTCTTTCTCAATATTCTCTCCTCTTGATTTTCATGGACCCCACAAACTCTTGGTTTCCCTTCTACCTTGAAGGAGGCTTTTCTTCCTCCTTTGCCCAGATTCCAAATGTTGGAGCAACCCAGGGCTCAATCCTGGACCCTTTTCCTTTCTCTATTGACATTTCTCCTTGGATGAGCTCATTCATCCCCATGGCTTAAATGACATTAATAAGCTGCCCCCCCAATTTTTATCTTCGTACCAGACCCCTCTTCTGAGCTCCAGACTCACATGTCCAACTGTTTACTTGGCACCTCCCCTTATACATCTCATAAGCCTCTCAAATTTAAAATGTCTAAGACCAAACTCAATTCCCAGCCCCCTCCCCTAACAAAAAGTCTAGGCCATTTCCTAGTTTTCCCTAACTCAGTCAGTGGCACCACCATTCACTCAGTTATCAAGGCCAGACACTTGGGAGTCCTCTGGGACTCCTCCCTTTTCTTCATCTTCATACTCAACCCAACCAACTAGTTCAGTAGATTCTATTTGAATCTATTACGCCATCTCCACCATTGTCACCACCCTGATCAAAGTCACCATTATGTCTCTACCCCCAACATTAACCACTAAAATATACAGTCCCAGAAAGGAAATAGCTGGCCAGTATTCCATTCTTGCCTCCTGACTATCCATTTTCTGCATAGCAGTCAAATGGGCATTTCAAGCATAAGTCCATCGGATCATACCATTCCCACGGTTAAAACCTTCCAATGGGTTACCATTGAACTTAAAATTCCATTGGACTTAAAATTCAAGTTCCTTACTGTGGTCCACAAGACCTCAGACCTCATCTCACATAATTCATCCTCTCATCTACTCTCTTTGTCCCAGCCACATTTTCTGTTTAGCTCCTCGAATACATCTTTCCTGACTCAGGGCTTTTGTTATTGCATTTTTGTCATGTCTGAAATCTTCCCCCTGATCTTAGCATGACTTCTTTCTAATCCTTCAGGCCTCTGAGTTTCTTCTACAAATGCGCCCCCAGAAAGGCCTTGCCTAATCACGGTATCTCAGTAGCTGCCCCGTTACTCTCTCTTTCAGCTTATTGTTTCTTTCAAATAATTATTTGCCTTTAATTGTTTTGTTTACTTACCTATTTACTAGCTGTGTGTTTGTGAAGGCAGGCCATGTGTTTCATGCTCACCACTGCATCCCCAAGGCCACCACTGTGCCTGGCATAGAGTCAGTGCTAACACAAATGTCTGTGGCTGGATGGTGGAATGGATGAATGAATGAGTTGGGGGCTCCAGGCTGTGGATGGATATTCTGGTTGATACCCACTCCCACCTTGCCCCTTAGAACGGCCACTGCACCCCAAGGAAAGGGTCCTGGAGCAGGCCTTACAATGGTGCCAGCTCCCAGAGCCCTGCTCGGCCTCCTTGCTCTTGAGGAAAGTCTCCCTGGCCCAGGCCAGCTGCCTCTTCACAGGTGAGCCTCCTTCCTCAGCCCAGAACCTCTAGGCTTCTCCCCCAGGACCTCCCACCTAGTACTGCCTATTTGTACCCAGGTGTCCGGCGGGAGAGCCCAAGGGTGGGGCTCTTGCGGTGTCGAGAGGAACCACCCCGCTTGCTGGGAAACCGCTTCCAGGAGAGGTTCTTTCTGGTTCGTGGTCGCTGCCTACTGCTGCTCAAGGAGAAGAAGGTGGGGCCCTGGGGCTATCGGGGAGGGACACTGGGTGGCTGTTTGTGAGGAGCCATGACTGCACTGACCCTATTACACCACAGCCCATAATCTCATCAATCTCACTGCTTCCCCAATACTTCCATGACTTCTCAACCTCATGAACCGTGATCCTTCTCTCTCACCTATCAACCTCATTGACTCCGTCCATGTTCTCAGAGCTCTAAACCAGAACGGGAGTGGTCTTTGGAAGGTGCCAAGGTCTACCTGGGGATCCGGAAGAAGCTAAAGCCTCCAACACCGTGAGTCTTCTTCCCCAGTTTTCTTTCTAGGGCCTCCCTGCCACCACCACCCTGGTCTGTCTGATCACCCCACCACTGTTCTCCTTTGCCTCTCAGGTGGGGCTTCACATTGATACTGGAGAAGATGCACCTGTGAGTACCTCCCAGCCTGGCTTCTCCTCTGGCCCAACCCTGTCCTCCGTCCCTATAGCTGTGACCTCTTTCCTTCCCCTAAATTCCCCTCTTATTACCCTCAGCTACCTGTCCTGCACTGACGAGGATGAGATGTGGGACTGGACCACCAGCATCCTCAAAGCCCAGGTGAGGGGAAGGAGAAAGTGGAGGGCTAGGTCTGTGGTCCTAGCTCTACCCCTCAGTACCTCCCATGCCCACTTGTGCCAACCTCTTCCCCTCCCTCCAGCACGATGACCAGCAGCCAGTGGTCTTACGACGCCGTTCCTCCTCAGACCTGGCCCGTCAGAAGTTTGGCACCATGCCTTTGCTACCCATCCGTGGGGATGACAGCGGGGCTACCCTTCTCTCTGCCAATCAGACTCTGGTGAGGTCCCAGCCCCACTCAAGCCCTTCTTGATCCCTGCCTGTGCCCTATCCACACTGCAGAAGGGAGTGGTGCACCTGCCAGCTTAGGGCCCCCCCTTTGCCTTTTCTGTGCCCCTACTCCCCACCTCCTGTTGCCAGGCCTCACTGTGTCTCCGTGTCTTTCTCTCCTCAAATCCCCACCCCACCTGTGCCCAGCGGCGACTTCACAATCGGAGGACCCTGTCCATGTTCTTTGTGAGTACTGTGCCTGCTCCAGCGGTACCTGTCAGCGCTGTGTTCCTCTGTGCTGCCTGAGCCGGTGTGCTCCCTGTATTTGTCTCCGCAGGCCACGTGTGTTTGTGTGTGTGTGTGTGTGTGTGTGTGTGTGTGTGTGTGTAAGAGAGAAAAAGAGTAAGTGAGAGAGTGCTGGGCCAGGAAAAGTAAAGAAAATGAGGGATGGTGAGGAAAGCGGGGAGTGGTTCAGGACCTGAGAAACAGAAAGAAAGGTGAATGCATTTCAGAGTTAGACAGACCAGGGTTCAAGCCCCAGCTCTACCATTTGGCAGCTTAAGCCCCCTGTACCTCAGTTCACTCACCTTCAGTGTAACCCATCATACAGAGTTATTTTGATACCATATCTGCAAAGTATTCTGCAGCATCGGGCTGAGAGCAAGAGCTCAATAAATGATAACGATGAATAACCCAGTAATTCTAATTCTGCCTCCTGTCAACCCATTCCCGTCCAGCCAATGAAGTCATCTCAGGGGTCTGTAGAGGAGCAAGAGGAACTGGAGGAGCCTGTGTATGAGGAGCCAGTGTATGAAGAAGTGGGGGCCTTCCCGGAGCTGACCAAGGACACCTCCACCTCCTTCTTCACTATGAAGGAGCAGACAGCCAAGTCAGAGACCTCCCTCACCAGCCAGAGATCCTCTGATCAACCCCTTCTCTCCAAGGCAGGCCGGGAGGAGAGGCCACCGGAGCCCCCTCCAGGTCCCCCTTCAAAGAACAGCCCCCAGGCACAATCGTCCTTGGAGGAGCAACTGCTCCAGGAGCTCAGCAGCCTCATCCTGAGGAAGGGGGAAACCACCATAGGCCTGGGCAGCCCCTCCCAGCCCTCCAGTCCCCAGCCCCTGAGCCCCAACAACCATCCGACACAGACACCTGGCTTCCCCTCCCCACCTCCCTGCACTTCCAGTCTACCCTCCAGCCAGCCCCTCACATGACCAGCAGTCCGAGGGAGTACCTAACCAAAAGACCAAGCTCTCACCTTGGCAGGCACTGTTGGGAGCTTCCTCTGCCCTGGCTGGAAAGACTCTAGGCTCCAGTGTGGTGCTGTGGAAGCAGCACAGGAACTGAGGGCTCCAGAGACTGTGTCCTGCCCGGAGAGGGGCAGGTCATGGCTTCCCTCTGGGCCTCTGCTCACTTGTCTGTACCATGAAGCAACTGAAAGAAGTAGAGCAGCGAACGTCAAACTGTTTCTCAGAGCTGCGGGCCCCACATATTTTTCCTCAACAAGGGCAACTCCTGCTTTATCTATTTGATATGTTGGGGTTCTGTGAGAGATTTGGGGTTTGAAAAGAATGGTCTTAATGCATTAAATTAAAAAAAAAAAGATCTGGAAGCCGGAGATCTGAATAATCCTCCAACTCTGTCCTACTCCAACTTGATGTGCTTGTGGAGGGAGCCTTTATGGTGGGTGGATGGGGAAGGCCTATGTGAAGAGTAGAAACTTAAGGGTAAGAGGGAAGACATGTGGAGAGCTGGGAGGAGGAGCACTCCAGAAGGAGAGGGAAAGCAGGAGGCATGAAGGCTTTTGGACTGCCAGTGGGAAGGGGCTTGGTTTGCTTGGGAACAGCATGAAAGCTGGAGCACCCTGAGTGGGGAGTGGGAGAAGAGTATAGGCTGAAGAGGGGAAGAAGGGCAGGGGCCCAATCACACACCATCTTGTAGACTATGCCAGGGCATTTGGATTTTATTCTGAAGCCACTGAGGAGTTTTAAGGAAGAGAGCGATGAGATCTTATTTCCTTTTTTTTTTTAATCAATTACTCTGGCTGTTTATGAGCAGTGGATTGTAGTGGGGTGGGGGGGGGTGGGGGTAGAGACTGGAAGCAAGGAGACCGGATATTCAACTAGGAGACTGATAATGAGGGTTGGACTAGGCTGGTGGTTTTGGAAATTGAGGGAAGTGGGTCAATAGGGAGATGTTTTTTAGAAACAACCTATAGGACTTGAAGATGGATATGGGGGCAGAAGAAAGGCACACTGACCCTGGGTTTCTGACTTTCCCAACTGGATGGAGAGTAGTACCATTTACTATGTTACCTGAGGTAGCTGACTGGGGAAGAATCAGGTTGAAGGAGCAGTTTTAAAAGTGTGAGGTACTGCCTGGCCTGTGTGGCTGAGTTGGTTGGAGCATCCCCCGTGCATCAAAAGGTTTCAGGTCAAAGCGGGCTCGATCCCCAGCAGCCGAATCTATGATTCTCTCTCATCATTGATGTTTCTATCTCTTCACTTCCACTCCTCTCTGAAATCAATACAAATATATTAAAAAAATATTTTTTAAAAAAAGAAAGGGTGTGTGGAGCCTCAGAAAGCTGTGTGGGGGCTGAAGGGCAGACCCTAAAGGTGACTGGGGCATTCCGGCCCGCAAGGCCCCACGCTCACCTCTCAGCTCACACCCACTCGCTGGTGTCTTTTAGTTTCCCCTGGTCTTGGATGCACCTGTCTTTTCTTCTGGGACTGGTTCCTTTCTGGCTCCAGGCATCTTTCTTACCTCAGCGCACTCTGGCTTTTCCAGTTCAGTGGGAAGTGAGAAAAGGTCTGGGACCAGCCCTGTTTCCCTCGTCAGACAAACTTCACCCAGGCATCCAGTGACTCAGTTTCCCTGGTCGCCATTCTTCACCCTTTGAGCCTGGGACTGGCGATCTGCATATGTAAATGATTAATTAGAAATAATTACGGGCTGAGTCAGCGGCTCCACTAGAAATAGAACCCAGGCGTCTTGACTCAGAAACCTGGGGTTCCCCCTACCGCCCAGCTGACGCGGCGTCCAGCCAGCGGCCCGGACCCTTTTGGGGTATTGGAAGCTGTAACAGAGGTTTATTCCTCCGCGGCCCCCTAGCGTCTCGCCGCCCTACGCGCAGCTGGACCAGACGTGGGCGGGGTGAGGGCGGGG